AGCCATCTCTTCCTTCCAGAGTGTCGGGAGGGGGTGTAAATCAAAGGCTCGCCAAGCACTTTACCTGCGCTTCACGCGAACACACTGACAGGCTTTAGGACAGGGACGGAAACGACGCTCCATTCCTTCCAAAAGCGGGCCTCCATCAACGTGGGCCCCACGGAAAAAAAAAGGCTCGCGAGTTCCCAAAACGTGCGATAACTACCGGGAAAATGAGAACGGAGCTGAACAGAAGAGTGATCGTGGAGAGAGAGTCGTGATTTCTGCAGAATCGGTAGACACACGCAATATGCCAGTGGGAAAAAAAAAAAATGCTCGTACAGTAAACGTGCTCGCGGCTCAGCTGCAGACGCCGAGTGCTTTGAGACCACGGCTTGGCGCGCTCGACGGCCCCCCTATTGAAGTGCGGCAGGTCTTTGGCGACGAAAAAGAAAGAAAAATAAAGATCTCGGTACGAAGGGCTCGGGATCACGAAAAGGGGAGAAGGAAATAAAAGCTGCTCGGCTCCGAAAAGCCTCAGCCTCTGGCAGAGAAGAGGAGAGAAGGATGGATGTGAGTGTGTGAGTTAGCGTTCTTAGGCGCAACGAGGGGATGTTATGACGCCATTTTTTTTCTTCTTTGGAGTGCCAAGAGCAGCGGCAGAAGCCGCGTCAGCTGCAGCAGCTGTAGGCATAACGTGAGCTATAACGGAACTGCGCGCCCCTGGTCATCTTCGCTCTACCTGAAGGGAAGCCCACGGATAAACAGCGTTTGCTGGTTCCGAGATTATGACATGAGCAAGTCGTCCTCACGTTACTTGCCCGTCTCCCTTGACAGAATGGAAAAGCACTGAAGGAGTTCATCGGGCATACTGAGAGACTGGCCAACGGAGACATCGCTTGAAAAGCAAGAACAAGAGGACACCAGATCGGATCCATAGACCTCTTGTTCATCCAATGCAAGGAATTGTTCGATTGGAAGAAATGCTGGAAGATACAGCATGATGTGTGCCAACGGGTTGAGGTGTTTACCCGGAAACAGTACTGGACGTGCAGTGGACCATCGCCGTGTGTGCGAATCTTTTGAGTGAGGATACCACGTGTTTGGTCGTCAGCCTGGATTACTTTACTGTGGTTACATGGGAGGGGCCTGCCTCTGCTGTAGCACGTAAAGCATGCGAAAGGTCGTGACATATAGACATAAATAGCATGTAACCTTGATGCACAGGCGGTTGGTAAAAGTCAAGATTTACAAGGTAAATTAAACCTAGCAAGTGAGTAAATGCACGTGCAAGGTTTGCAAACGGTTCGATAAGACCTATACGTTGACGTATTCTTGGCCAGATAGCATATTGTGAACGACAGTTGTGAAATCTGATCAGAAACACAAACTGGCGTGAAGAGTTGGCGTGGAAGTTCGTTAGTGTTGTTTTGTTAAGATGTTGGGCCAGTAAACTGTGAACATTTCAGACACAAAACGAAACAAGTACGTGCATGCATCCCAAGTTGAAATGAATTAGAAAAACTGAAGGAAAACATCGACTACCTGCCTATTTGTTGTGAACGTGACCTTCTAAAATAATTGTAACTGCGCTTAAAAGCGATATAGTTGACAATAGTTTCCTGTCCCATATTTGATGAAGACATGTGTATTAGAGTTTCCAGAGCTGCAGACAATTGGACTGCGTTTCAGAACAAGTGAACTGCCGCACAGACTGCATACCGCACAATCTACGCCCAGCGGCTAACTTCTTGCGTGGATTAGCTCTTTCATTGACTAACACGACGGACGAAGTCGCGACAAAGGACATGACAACGTTTATGCGGTAAACCCCAAGAAGCATTCGATTTGTCAGTGGAGTGCAGCGGACCGCTTGGAACTGAAGGCCATGAAGAGTCGAAGACACTTGGATGCGATAGAACCTTGAGGTCAAGCGTGAGATGGTCCCTTCGTTGAAACATGAACGGACCGTCACCGAGCTGCGAGCGATGGACGTTCACGTGTCTCTGCGTTTGTGGGTGTCTTTTCGTCCTCACGACTGTGTTTGTGCAGGTAGGAATAGCCCACATTCTGCGTTTCACGAAATTTAATTTCTGTATTATTATCCGACTTTTTTGCATCCACGGTTGGGTAGTCACAAACGTCCACGTCCTCTATATACTACCCGTGTACGTGCTCACTTACTGTGTGTGTTTTTACTATCCTTGGTGTATGTTCATCATTTGTTTTTGTTTTTTGCTCTCTCTAAATAGATTTTTCCACATGAGGAAAAAAAAAACGCCGTCATGCTAAGCTGCACCCGGGAGTGCACAGGCCAACGTGAAAGCCTTGGCGGCGCACTTTTCGGGGGGTCATGCATATTTGGCGTCACCCACAGAGGATTACTGTGGTACCCGGGGAATCATGTGTGGAAAGCTCTAAACCCTCTTTCTAGCCCCTATCTACCCTCCCTAGTGCATGGTAGCAAACGGGGTGGTAATATCTTGATAACCTCCCAGCCCTCCTCTTCCACTCTTCCCTCTCTGCGTGTGTTTGAAGAGTGCGGCATGGGAACGCTTACTAAAGAATTAATTAAAAAAGGAGAAAAAGTGCATGTAAATGGCTCGTCAGTTTGTTAGCCATGGATGTGAAACTTGGATGTAAAGGGTACTATCACACCGATGTAAGGAGAGTGACTCGATAACTTGAAAAAAAGAACGGGAGTTTTGAAAACTTTTTAACATTGGAGCTGGACAACCATGCATAGTCTGTGCAAATCTAACGAAAAGCTGGCAGCATAATGAACCGACACGGGCTGTTTTTCTTCTTTTTTTCCATATTCTGCCTCGATCCCAGAACACGTGGGCCGCTTTGTCTGGCATGTCATGCAATACCTCTGATGTCCGACGGAACGACTACAAAACTAAAGAAAAAAAAAAGATAAAAAAAGAGAAATAGAAGAAGAAGGAAAGAGAGACAGAAAAAGATAGGAAGAATAAAAAAGAAATAGTCATAGAGAAAGAAATACGAAAAGCGATAAAAAGACGGAGACAAATAAACCCAGACAAAATAGATATAATGAGCCAATAGAAAGATAAAGATAAAAATGAAGAAAGTGAAAAGAAATAATTAAGGAGGCCTGCGCAGCTCCGCACCTCCTTCAGGCTTAGAACCACTAGTGCGGAACGGCCTTATTTTTTTTTTGTGGCCTATCTTGTTTCACTAATGACTCTTTTTTAGGAAGAAGGTCTACTCTGTATGATGAATATTATTACGCTCTTGTGAGAGTCGTGCGACCCACAAGAGAGCTGACGTGCCTCTTTATGAAGAGTCGTAAACTGCGCAAGCTATAGGACACACTGAAAAAAGAGTAACGCATATTTCTATCAGCGAAGCAGTTCAATGTCACCGTAATTTGTCTGTCGGCAACAGAAATGATCGTCACAATGAACCGTCGTGCGCTCTTCACATCATCGTCTTCACCTTCGGTCCTCTTCGCTCCTAGAACACACGTGCCGTTTTCTCCCGCATGGGCTGTAATAAACCCGATTGGTGAGAGAAAGAAAAAAAGAGATAGAGAGAGAAAGAAGGGGCGAAATTCTTGGGGACGAAAAATTCTTCCTGGGATTTGAACGCGTGCCACTTAGATTCGAAAGCAAGCGACCTGCCACTCGACTATCCAGGCAAGCTGGATAGACAGCTTTGTACAAACAAGGGTGTGGGAAAGGGATGTGATTGTGACGAGGAGAGGAGGGTGCAATGTGCAGCATAAAAAAAAGAGAGAGAGAGAGAGAGAAAGAAACATTGGAAGAAGAAAGAAAAATATATAAAGGAAATCAGAGAGGCTGAAAAAAAATTGAGCGAGAGATGAAAAGAGAGCGAGAAATTAAAAATAAGAAGCAAGTAAGAAATAAATAAAAATAAAAGCACAATAGCGGAAGAACAGAAAAAGGCAAGAAAAAGAAACAAAAAGAGAGATACAGAGAAATAAGTAAATAAAATAAATAGAGAAAAATCACACAAAGAAAGAGAAGATAGAAGAAAGGAGTAGAGGAAAAAATTTCAAAAAATTCAAAACTTTGCAAGACAGCAGAAGTCGGAGCTACGTCATGCTAAAGAGACGAGCTCCGCCGTCTCTTTAGCATTGCTCATCCAATGCAAGCTGTGGTGTTTCTTTAAGGTGTACAGATGTGAATCACAGCATTCATTACAGCAAATAAGCACCAGGAGATTCTCTAGCGTAGACGCAATACAAGCTATATATGCCAAGCATTCTGCGCTCTTAAAACAGGTAGTAAATAGTTCGCAATAGCTGCATTTACTACCCCTATGTCAACTTTATTACATGTCGCTAACGTTTCAAACGTTTCACTACCATAGAGATGTATATGAGAGGTACTAAACGTTGCCGTTAGTACTTAACGTGTCAGGATAAGTAAAGGTAAACCTGCGCATATGACGTGTAAGTAAACATTTTTCTTTTGACTGGCTGTCGTATGTCATGCTGCTATTTTGACAGTATTCTGCAAAACTTGGAGTTTACTATAATTTTTTATGATGTTAGAGTAGCATTTCAATATACATTTCCTCATGTCACATGTATAAGCAAGTAGCAAAATATCAAAATCTGGGTTCGAAATATCAATTATATGTCCACGTTTAGGGCTTTATGGCACTGAAGATTCGGGAGACTAGCTATGAAAAAAAAATCAATTATCCTAAAGCTCAATTAAGATAGATAACTGTTTTACGAAGCTTCTTGAGTTAAGTGTATGTCGCTGACTTGGTCCACTGCCACCTTTAATGTCATTTTGGCGTTTTTTTTTTCACAGCTTCCACGATTTCGAATAACTGTGCGGAGGGTATACGATTCGCAAACCAGGGCGGATCAGCCATTGATCATTGACACTACGCTCAAAGAGTACAGAACTATTAGAGTCGAAAGCACTGAGGGTCCAAGTCACGATGCCCAAGACCTCACGGAACGCGTGCGAGATTTTTGTCGACGCCACGCCGAACAACAGAAGCAGAGGCTAGGGAAAATGAACCAAACGGAATCGGGCGCGTTAAACATTGTCTACAAAAACTACAAGCACCTTCTCTACGCGGTAAATCCGCGCAACAACCGCAGCGTGCTGTACTGCTCGATTCCCAAGGTTGCCAATACGAGCCTCAAGACGCTGCTGCTAAGCCTAAATGAGAGTCACCGGGGCAAGTACACCGAATCGACCATGCACTACTACGTCTACTCGGCCATGGGCTTGCCGTTCGTGCTGTACAGAAACCAGGTGAACGTGAGCGATCTGGTCAGCGCCTTCAAGGTGATGTTCGTGCGACACCCTTTCGAACGCCTCGTGTCATTCTTCGAAGACAAGACGAGACGTACAGTGCCGACGGGAAAGTATTTCTACTACAAGTACTGGAACAATGCGATGGCTCGTTTCAGAGGCGCCGAGAACGTGGACAGAAAGAAAGATCTGATCACGTTCGAGGAATTCATCGATCTCCTCCTGAGCACCCGACCGTCCAACTACGACTTGCACTGGCAACGTTACAGCGATCGCTGCGAGCCGTGTCTCGTTCCGTACGATTTCGTGGGTACCTTGAAAGACGTGCCCGTGATGTACAGTGCTCTAGGAATGACCAATCGCTCGCGGTTGTGGGTGAACAAGGGACCAAGTGACACCAAGAACGTCGCCCTATCGTACTTTTCACGACTTCCCAGGTCGAAGGTAGAGAGGCTGTACTCCATCTACGCTGTGGACTTCACGATGTTTGGTTATAGCGCTAAAGAGTACCTCAACGCGGCCAACAAAACCGAGGATGAAACCGTAAAGTGATAGATACGCGTGGGGCTTGACAAAATCGTTTCGCAGGGCGCAGTCGCTCTTTACGCGAACGATGTGTGGTGTTCCTGTGCAGTGTGACGCTCTGATCGGATATGTGAATGTCTCAAGTAGCGAATTTCACACACTCAAGCGAAGAAGTAAGGAGAATACGTTTCATTTATTGAACTTTTGTTCACTCTCGTGTTTCAAGAAGGTGCTTTACGTGTGTTGAATATGTAAGTAATGTCATCATGTGCGTACTTTGCGCAATATAGAAAGGCCACTGAGAAGGATACCTTACCGTGCACACTTCATATTTTTTTATGTGCACTGTTTTGCTATATCAGTAAGGTGCATTATTGTATTGTAGCGTACGCAATATCACCACTTCGTTGTACATTGTTAGAATCCGTAGCCTTAAATTTCAAGCCAGTCAGGACGTAAGTATGCGCGCTTCCAGCTAGACCTGCTATTGCATTGTGGCGAGGGGCGTCTCAAACTATGATAACAAAACAAGAGCCTTTTCTGACACGATTATCTCTCACCTCTCTGGCTCTCACTGCGTAGACCATGAGGGAAGGGCATTTCCATAATGTGGCATAGTGGATTCCACGGGCAGTCTCTACAAAACTAAACATTTATAGCGAAAAGTGCACGTCGTTGACAGTCGTGCAGAAGTGGTGTTGAAGTGCGTCCTTGTTGATCTCCCGATTGTCTAGTGCAACGAACGCAATCGCACGTTACGGCTCTTGTTATGAATTGCTTACAAACAGTAGGTAAATTGCGCAGTGCTTTTTTATAACATGTTTAATACAGAAATTCTACAAGTAGTTGTGTTTACAGCCTCTTGTTCTTTATTTCTTTTTACTGGGAAGAGTACGAAGCTTGCCTTGTGCATACAAACAACAAACGACTATTTCTGGTAAGAAAAGTGGTGTGCTCGAGAAAATTGCCCTTTTCCAGGTTGCGTTAACTACACATCGCCGTTGTAGCGCTTTCAACATGGCGGAACCTGATCACGCATATTGCGACGTCGTTTTCGCAGGCGTCTAGAATTGTCGGGGAGTGTCATGCAGCGTTCGTAAGAACACTTAAACACAAGCTGCCCAGATTGGTAATCAGGAAAACTGTCAACGTATGACTGGTAGTTAGCACGAGTAAAAGTCGTCGATGACGAGGTTATCCCCGAATCAAGCCCCGCCGAGTGCGTCTCTGTTTGTGTCGGAACTTTTTCTACGTCTGCAAAGACCGCTTGTAAGGCATACGCACTGCACGGAAATAGGCCATGTAGCTCATTATATTTGAAAGAACAATTTAACTGGCAAAAAAAAAAACAAAGAAACGCCAGGCCTGCGCGGAACGCGCAGCACAGTCACAGAGAAAGCTTGAAGAGCAGCATTTCAAAGGCTTTTCTAAACACTGTTTGGGTAACTGCTACAATCACACTTGCTCGGTATCCACAACGCCATAACTAATCATAATTTTTGTGCAGTAGGCAAGCATTCACTGTGCTATCCTTCGTAATTCTTCGGAGAGACGTGGTATCCGCTGCACACTTGCAAATTTTGCGCAAATTTTTTATGCAGTGGCTGACGTCGACGAAGTAACATGCCAGAAGTGGGTATGTGCCACTGTTAATAGGTGATCAAGAGCAAGCCTTTGTAATGCGTTGGAGCATCGGACGACTCACTCGTCACGAAATTTGAATTGTGTGACGTTTGTTTGTTGCTTTGCTGTTCTAAAATGTTTCATTACTTATGCTAACGCGATTTCTTTTCCGACATCAAATTTGCTTAAGACACGTTTGCAATTGTTGCAAGCACTGGTGTCGGCAGAATACTAGGCTGGCTTGCAGGAGACGCGGGTTTGAATTCTGCTGTGTCTTTGGTTTTCTTGCGCTAGGCTCTGTGAGTTTACCCACCCGCAATGATGCCCTCAAAATACTTACAATGCAATTAATGTTCAAACAACTCGCGCAGTTTTCAGTTCTGAACAGATTGCGCAATAACAATATAAGAACAAAGTAAATGTGGTAGACGACTCCGTTATAGGACTGAGAATGAATAAAGAAACGTTGGGAAACATAAGAAAACCATCATTAGCCAACATCGCTTCACCTTTGGTGATCATTCAAGAAATATCAGCAAACGTTAGCTCAAGTTTACTATAATTGAGTCGAAAGTATCAAGAATAAACCAGAGCTATAATGAATGCTAGTTATACTCAAATCGGACAGTTGTGAGTCTCGTGACATAATGATACGCTTTGTTGCACTGCCTTCTAGATCGGCACACTTTTTTTCTCAAGAATCCTAAATTGTTACAACATGCAAGAGAAAAAGGCACAAGGATGAAAATAGCTTCACAGCAATAATTATTCTTTCTAAACATAGCATTGTAGTATGCAGCAAGATGGCAAGTCCGGTCAGTTGGATCATGTTCATAATTGAAAATTTTGTTGAAGCGCACTAAAAAACAGACGGACAGAAGAGGCTGACAAGGAGAGCGCTTGATGTCCTTGTCAGCCTCTTCTGTTCGTCTGTTTTTTTTAGTGCACTTCAACGAAATATTCAATTATGATTGTAGTATGACCATGGGTGCAAGTATTTACAGAGAAGTCTCTTGGTCTGCTATGCCCCTGTCCCACGAGGTTTGTTTCAAGTTGTACAAGTACCATTCCGACTAGTGACAGTTACAGTTATCTGGTTAGCAGGCTGTTACACGAGCCTCTCAAAGGTCATCAAACAAGAATGATTTCTGCAAACTAACAAGTTTTCTAAAATCAGTTGGATGTGTTTTCATTTAAACTGAGTACCTTCACTGAAGAGAAGCCATGAACAAATTATGTATTAAGAGTAAAGGATTCGTTTCAAGACTTAGTAAGATTTGTTACGAAGTTTTCAGTTTAATTTTTTGCCAAGCGGTCACCTGAGGCACCGCCATCATAAACGACGGACAGTGGGAAGGGACAGGGGTTAATCCCCTCTTCCCCCACCTCGCCCGGTTAAAACTGCCTGACTTTAAATAAAGTTTATTCATTCATTCATTCCAATCAATGTAACTTATTCATTCTCAGACCGAGTTGCCAGACTAGCAACATAACAAGTGAATAATTATCACAAAAAGAGCCCCCCTTCCCGGGCCCAATCACACACAAAATAAAAGAAGAAAAAGTGGCACGACTTTCGAGAAGAAGCTTAAAAGAAGTGGAAACTTAAGCTGCTTAGCCAATGAATATATTGTTCATTATATTAACGAAATGTCACTCAAATGTAAAGGGGAGTCCACGAAACTGATTTATTTATTCTTTATAGTTAAAATATGCGCAACATTGAACGAAACCACATACTGACTATTTCACATTGTCTCTTGGGCATTTTTTTCTTTCGGTGGAATGTATGTTTTTCAGTGCAATATCAGCGTGACTTGTCGATTCACCGAACGTATGTTTGGAGTCACCGCTCAACTACTCAAAGTCATCGCCTGACGCGGTATTAGTGAACGATAAACGTTGTACTGGTGAACGTCGTCGTTTGGTGCCAGTGCGGATGCCACCCGTATAAGTGGCAAAACGTCTGTATAGTTTTTGTTATATTATGTTCTGTTAAGTCGGAGTACATATTTTGAATCATGAATTCATCCGGCTTTTCGAACATTTTGTTGAAATAATCACTAAAATACTTAAATTTGCAGTGCCCCGCTGCGGTGGTCTAGTGACTAAGGTAATCGGTCATCGACCGAAATCTCGGCTGCGGTGGCTGCGTTTTCGGTGGAGACGAAAACGCTGTAGGCCCATGTGCGCAGATTAGGGTGCACGTTAACGAACCCCTGGTAGTCGAAATTTCCGGAGCCCTTCACTACGGCGTATCTCATAAACATATGGTAGCTTTGGGACGTTAAACCTCACATATCAATTGAATCAGTTAGATTTGCTGTGAAAATGCAAATAAGCTCAAAACGCGACAAGAGAGTGAAAAAATTAACAAGCTACTCGGCGACAACAATAACAACAAATCCGCCTATTATAGCCCTAACTGGTAACCCTGTTCTAAAAGTTTGAGTATCCTCGTCTCCAGCAGCACTGTCTAGCGTTGTGCTCAGTAGCCACAAATGCAGCCTGCGTACGACCGATGGCGTCAAGGCAGAGTGATGGACATTCGCTGATAACAATTTTCACTAACAGATGATACAGACATTTTTTGTTTTGTTTCTGTAACACGATGTGGCATTTCTTGTTCGTTACTGTCTTCGTCGCATCGCGACTGTTATCATCTGCAAATCACACTATCTTCCACCATGTCAATGAATACAATGTCATTAGGTACAAATGTCATTATATTCAAATTTCAATAAATACGAGTGTCACTGGATACAAATTACACTAAAACTTTCTGTGTGACAGGGGTATTATACTGGTGAGTGACCGCGACGAGTGGGAAGTCAATATCCCAGTGCGTTCCGTGGCCGTCTCAAACTCTTTTCAACGTCCCATACTATAGACATGTGATTATTTCGTGGCTTTGTTTTCCACCATTCCCTCTGGCGATGATGTAAACGTATGCTACATTTATGATAAAAAAAAAAAACCCATGTGCGAGTGCAACGCATGTAGCTTCTTACGCGCTGCATGAAATACTGCTGACTAATGGACAGACTGTCATAAGCAGCCGCTTGCTTCGCTAATGAAACTTTGCGTACGTAGTCACGTCGGCTTTGAAAGTTGAGTTTAAATTTAGTTGGCTGTCAGCGAGATAGCTGTGTCAACTCGGAATGCTATCGCTGAGTGCGCTCATGCAGTTTATTACAAAAATAAACAATTTGAGCAACACACCTAAGTGTATACATATATTGTTTCAGTCACCGAGACGTCAAATAGTTCCAGTAAAAAAGTTTCGGAACATTGTTATTGCTGCACTTTTGGTAATGTAATCTAATACTAAGGTCTTTGAGTGGGCTAACTGAGTTAAGCGGCGTAACGAAAGTGGGTAGTGTGTGGGACGCCCATGATAATAATTGACAAAACTTGCCAACGATAAATGTGTCAAACTGACGAACACAAAAGGGGCACAAACTTTGACACGATGCTATTTTGGGCGGATCGGTGTTTGATCAGGAAACTGAAGGCAGGTCTTACACAAAGGACGAAAGAAAGACAGCAAATAGGAACGGAACGCATATGTATCACCCGCCTTTTGCTTCTTTGATAGACGTAAATTTCCTTGATTAAAATCAGTAGCAAAATTGAAAATAGTTCGGGAAATGCCTTCGTAAAAGCGTCTTGCAGTGATTCATTCCCAAGTCAACCAATAAAGCACATAGGCCAAAAAGCAAGATTTGCGATCAGACGCTGCTGGAGTACCATCACTCGTCGTCTCACAAGGCGGTAAA